GCAGAGTTGCCTACCTTCCGTTCGGTTACTGTTGTGAAAGAACATCAAAACACTCGGCAATCTGATTTATACTCGTATATAAATCAGATAGCCTCGTGTTTCGATGATCTTTCTATTACTTATAGAATTTAAACATAATTATATCATGAGACAATTAACAGTTACATGAACCTTTTAATATATAACAACATGTAAACATAACATGAAAGACAAATTGTAGATTAATAAAATAAATATTGAATAAACATTGCAGAGCTCTATATAGTTGATGACAATTAGATATATGTGACTTTCAACATTAACAGTAATTTATCAAGGTTCAACCTAACATAGGAAGTGTAAAAAGAATTGAAGTATCAACATATATATCTTTGAAGTATCACACCCTTTAAATGAGTGATAAGAAATAAGTTATTAAATAATAAGTGAACCTTTCATTGCAATTTTAAAATAATAATATAAGAAATATTTTAGAAAAGAATATGTACATTTAATAATGACTATATTTATTTGCTTTTTCAATAACGTCATTGTGGTAGTCCTTTTTAAGAATAAAAAAAAATAAAACAACAACAACAATATTTCTATTTCATTATTATCTAACATTTATTCTGTTTGGCTCTATTGTCGACAGTCTTTCTCTAATTAAAAGACTACCATGAGTCATGTGGTTTGAAGGGTTGATATAAAGTTGCATACTGTTGTATATATTTGTCGTTTATCAAAAAATATGGTTTTGAAGATTTTTAATGAGCTAACATGATTACATATTATTGAATGTAGTTTAAAAAATATGAGGTAAAAAAATCTTAACAACAGGAACGCATTATTATAGTAAGAAATATTATAACCTGGGAATGATAAAAGAATGAAATTAAATATTCAAGCGGCGGAAATTATGCAATCATATGTTCTACCTTTACAAATTTGTGCCATAATGTTCTGTAGTATTCACTGAAAACAATGTTTGTAACGAGTCTGTGCCAAAACCAAGTACACATGTAGTAAATGGCGTAAGATAACGTTTTCATGTATTTTCAAAACAAAATAACATTTTTTTAAAACTTTTTTTCACTCGTTTCCATGGAAAACAATAAACTTTATCAACGTTCAAAAGTACATATTTTAATGGTCACTTTATTCTTATTTTTCCGGTTGAATGATTTTTGGCCCTTTAATAAAAGGGTTTTTTGTGAGTTGCCCAAAAGCATGTCTGGACTATTTTTCAAAAACTGCTGGTGCAATTTCATCCAAACTTTACAGGAATGATCAGGAATGATCAGTACCCAGTCCAGTTGTGCATATCATCGGCTTTTTTTCGGTTCAATAAATTTTGTCAGAGTTATGGCCCTTTAATTATTTTTATGTTTTAAAGTTTGTTGGACTACTCCTCTTATACCAATAATGCAATTTCGTTGAAATTTTACAAGGTTAATTGTTAGGTCAAATACTTGCGCATATTACGCATATTACACGGGTTTTCCGCTTGAATATTTTTTGGCCCAGTTATGGCCCTTGAATGAAAAGGGTTTTAATAAAGTGTGTCCGGACTACTCCTCATATATCATTAATGCAATTTCAATGAATTTTACAGGATTGATTGGTTAGTACACAAGTTTTTCACTTGAAGGTTTTTTTTATTTAAGGGCTGAGTTATTGCCCTTGAATAAAATGGTGCTTTTTGTGTTGCCAGCTACACGGAAGTTTGTCTGGACTACTCCTCAGAAACTACTGGTGCAATTTCATCAAAACTTTAGAGGAATGATCAATACAATGTCTAGTTGTGCATCTCATCAACATTTTTCGGTTCATTGATTTTTTTGCCCTTTCATGATTTTAATTTTGAAATTTGTCCGGACTACTCCTGTTATACCACTAATGCAATTTCAATAAAACTTTACAGGATTGATCGATAGCTCAAATTCTTGTGCATATTGCACATGGGTTTTAGGTTGAATGATTTTTTGCTGAGGTATGGCTATCATGAGGCGACACATGTCATCACTGATGGCCCATGTTTACTAAGTCAAAGGCAATAAATCTACAAATGCATGTGCTATATAAAAGATTTGTAGAATTGTGTACCGGAAACGACAGAATTGCGATTGTCGATAACGACGAAATCAGATGGATAGCATGGACACTCGAATTGTTCCAACAAATTGAGGCTCTCAGTTCTGGGTACCATTTCTTTATTGATGACCAGAAAATATTAGTTCTTGTGACGAATGAGCCAAACAGCTCCAGCTGAAATTTTAGTTATTTTAATTTCAAAATTGTAGTAAGTAAAGTGTTAACAAGGCCATAAGCTCGTCGTTAGGACTTTTGGTAAGGCTTTGTGAGGGTAAACTTGATTTTTTTTTTTGAGAATACAAGTACATGTATATGAAAGTAGGATTTGTTTATCTCTTTAGATTTAGCACTACATGTAGGGTGTACATTGCCATCAACTGAAACTATTGTTTCGTGTTTTAGAGTGAACCTCCCATATACTTGGGTTAGGTAAATTTTAACCTAGGACATAATTCATACGAATATTCAGTAAGGTAACAACTAACAAGTCTATATATAAAATAACTACGCTCAGCGTTGCTGTTCATGATAAGAAAGTTATTTTGGCTCCCACTTTTTAATTATGCATTAATCTAAAATCGGATACACAGATGATCAAACCAAATGTCGTTACAACAAAGTCTGAACTTTTATCTTGTACTTGAAGACTGAAATGCAAGTTTATCTCTCCTACAACATCACAGACTTCTTCCAGCATGTCCTCGGTCGATAGCTTGAATATACTGATCATCACTGCAGGGTATTCTGATACTGATAAGCAAATCTGTTCCTATCATTTTGGTTTCATCCACAAATAGAAGAATTAGCCAGGTCAGCCATAGCTACTACTAGCCTTGGGTCCCGTCTTGTCCTTGATGCTTTGTGCCACAGTCTATCGGGGTGTGGACCTCCAAACGCAATAAAATCCAAATAAATTGTATACATATAAACTTATAATAATGTATCAATAAAACGTAATATTTGACCTACGTGTTATATAAAATATTAAATTTATTTTTGAATTTTTATCCATTCCCTCATATACACGTATTTTAACACCCTTTTCACCCCCTTTTCTGAAGCCTCAGATGGTGAAAAGTACCTTATATTAATTATTTAGGCTGCCAACACTTGTTTTTGTTTAAGAAATGTTGATTAAAAAGGTGATCACTTTTTCGGCGCTGGCGCCTATCAAAAATATACATCAAGGAACTGCCAGAGGGGGATGTGCCCCTCCTGATTAGGGGTTTGAAGGGGGCAGCAGCCCCCCCCCCTCATCGCCAAGGATAATTTAGGACTTGTGAGACTCAGGCCGAACATAAGATAGCGTTTTACCAACACTGAAAAGCCTTTGACTCTATCTCAATCCATTGAGAAGTTACAGTTTTGATGGAAAAATCAACGCAAAATAGTGTTTTTTTTTGCAATTTTTAGATGCCCCTCGTTGCCATGGTAACAGGAAAATTAAGCCTGAGCATGCCTTTACAAAGGCAATGGCCCAGTTAACACGCGTGCCAAGTTTGGTCAGTATTGAAATATTTTTTTATAATTTCATAGCAATTTGAACCTGTAACAGGAGGATTTTCAATGAAAACATCCATGTTCACAAAATACCCATGCCGTAATGGGTTAAAGAGTCTGGAGCTCCATATCCCAACTTGCAAATGTCTGTGGTTAAATGCAGAGACATTCTAAAATCATTCATGGACTAGAGTTTATAAGTTAAAAACCATCTGTGGGCAAATAGGCGGCTTGAAATACGCACCGATTGTCATCTTTACATACATACATGCTATTTGTTTTCTCTCCAGAATTGGATTATCAGTGGTACTGTTTTTACGATAGTATTAATTCATTATCAATATTCGTTACATGCGTGGTTTAGTGGAACCAACGCCAACCATATAGAATCCATCCCTCATCCTAACGTGTCTATTGGGTGAGAAGACATTCCACGTGAAGAACATCAACATAATAATTAGCGCTTACTTTATAATACACGTGATAATACACGTGAATCTCGTGCCACAGGTCGGATATCGTGTCTAGGTCAGTCATATTTTGGGAACTGCGTGCATGGGCAGAAAATATATACATATGCAGAAGTCAGTCCAATCAAAATGTTTGCGTGGAAAATCAGTAACTTTTTCAAGAAGTGAAACTACGCGTGTTCGGACAATCAGAAATTAAACTCTATATTATTTTACTTTACAACATTTTTTTTTTTTTTGGGGGGGGGGGGGGGAGAATAAATAAATAAATAAATAAATAAATAAATAAATAAATAAATAAAATAATAAAATAAATAAAATAAATAAATAAATAAATAAATAAATAAATCTCTGAGTTCCTACACCTTTCCATAAACAATGGAATTTTAAAAGTACTGTACAAACAGTCACGTGCCGTGGCACGTATATTATATATAGATAAAAATTAGATAAAATTACACTCCTTCAAAATAATTGTAATTGCATAATATTTATTCACAATTTATACGCTGTTGGAAAACCTACAATAACCGTTTATTGTACCGATCACATACTGTCTATGTACAAATGCTTTATTAAACTCTTAATTTAAATTACGTTTTTTTATCCTAAAGTAGGAACGGGAATTATTATTAATAATTCATCATTCATTTAAAAGACAATACATTGACACATTCTTTGGCCCGGGTCTACAAGAAAAGGGTCACGGGTATTTACTATCGAAGGGGTGCGCATTTTCTTAATCACTATATATAAGCGCACATTTCCGCCATTGTAATCTGTAGCAGAAAATAAAATATTCTCTATTCCAGCACACACTGGTGAATAGTTCAGAAAGTGCCAAAAAACTAGACGTTAGCAGCGAGTGCACCAATTTATTTTGCGCATTTGCCCATTTGAAAAATGTATCGGTCCAACATTACGTCGTAGTCTACTTGTCTACTGTCAAAATATTGGACGATCCCATTTTTAGTTGCAGTCCAAATACACATTATTGAAAATAGGCTGTGTATCGGATAACTCGTGGAAGCTGTTTATGTTCTACGATTGGTCGCTGGATTTTATGTGTATTAAAATGACCATCGGTGTTATATTCACCAACTCGATTGGTCAAACAGCTTATAGTTATTGACCGTTTTTTGACCTAGACGAACATTTCGTCTAGACAGTGTGACCGAATTTAATACACAAGTTCGCCATGTTGTAAGCGATTGTGCAGGGCTGCAAAAATACAAGAAAATGTCCGCTCTTTGAAACGAAAATGTGGACTTACTGGGTTCTGTTCGCTGCAAATGTGATTAATTTACAATTAACTGGTGAGTACATATAATTAATATCAATTAGGAAAAAAGTTTAATTGGCTGACAGATACTGTACAATGTTTGTTTGGACATATATACAGTGAACTGCACACTACATGTTAAACCGTTTGACGTAACGTTTCTATTTTTGTCCCATGTTGAGTGGCAACTGCATAATGCATGCTGGATGCGTTTTCTAGGACAGTTTATATAATTTATCACGCTTGTTTACTTTTCTTTATCCGCTCACAAATTATGTCAAATTGATTTTAGAAGTTTAAATGTTGATTAAATAGTTAAACGCTGACTAGAGCAGGTTTATTTACTATACTGAAACCTTTAATATGTGGTGTATTTCCATAATTTATTCAGTTAATATCAATTTCTGTATATGCCATACTTTAATTCGAGTGTTTAAGACTGACATACATTACATGTGTATGTATTAGATATATATAAAATTAAATGTGTTTTTAGTTCAGATTGCTATCAATACTAGATCTATTAGTATAAAATTTACCAAATTTACTATACACTGGGGTACAGTACAGTACAGTACAATACATGTATGAATTTTATGTTTTGTACAATGGGGGTTTGCAAGGTGTTAAATTTATGTTTTTTTAAGTGTTATTCATTGAAAATGAAATAAATTTTGTGTACAGTAATGTTCCCACTGCCTTTTTTGTTGCATGAATTTTTATATGGATTCTAACACCTTACTTTAGAAAATTGTCTGAGGGTAAAAAAGAAAAAATTGGCAAGCTAAGTAAATTTGTATCTAATATTATGAAGTATGGTTTAAGAGCAATAATTATTAGGACCCCCCTGTCATTAAAATGGACTATTCTTTGATGTCACTTGGCAGTTGAATATGTTTTATATCTATTTTGATGACTTTAATTGGTAGGAGCATCTTCATTGTTGACATAATCACAGATAATTAGCAGCAATTAAAAATTAGGAAGCATTAATTAGTCTTTGACAGACAGTATCTGTGTAATATGAGAATACAAGTCTTCAACTCTTGTTGTCCAAACATTCAATGAATTTGAACTGGCATTTATGGCTACAATCATCACCTATCCATAACATTAAAACTGACTGTCAGAACAGGTACTTGTCATCATTCAGAACTGTTCACAATTTAGAGGAAAAGATGGCTAAGCAGATGGATAGCTCATTGGTAGAAAAGGGGACGTTATTCCGAAGGTCCCGGGTTCGAGTCTCTTTCAGGCTGCAGATTTTTCTCACCCTGTGACATTTGGCGCACGACGTGGGGCCTGTGACTGTATATAGCTTAGAGCTTAATTGACATTGCTTTGTAATCATGAGAAATTCAAGGATAAATTTCAATATGGGGGGGGGGGGTTCACAGTTCATCAATATTTAGGGGAGATGTGTAAGCTTAGTCGGTAGAACAGCAGAACGGTATTCCAAAGGTCCGGGGTTCAAGTCTGTGTCAGGCTGCACATTTTCTCACCCTGTGACATACCATACTCTTATTACACACATCACTCTACTACTAGGGTAAGCATTGCTTCAGTCAGCTATTTTTTTGAAACACTGATTGGCTGAAGAGAGATAATAGTCGACAACTGTGAAGACCTGCCTTTAAATGGTGAAAATGTTCCTGCATTATTTACCAGTTTCAGGGCAATTTAAGTGAATATTATTCCCGAATTTTAACCTCCAAGATTGATCTCTGAATTACACTTGATGGAGTTAGGACCGTCATAGATGGAAAATTTTGTATTGATATATCCAAAACAGACTATCTACAATATATCAAACTAAATAGCTTGTACTGTACTGTAAGTGTAACAGACAGTCATCATAGTTATGTTATACAAACTTGTTTTAGTCTTCACAAGTACAATGTAAAGAAGGAATGTTTTTTGTTTAATACTATTTTCTCAATGACCTCTGAAAATTAAACTCCGGGTTCAAGTTTGTCAGAAAAGGAAGAGATCTGTACATATGTGACTTCTTACTTCAGTGTTAAGACAAAATAGAGAGGTATGTATGCAAGACAGGGAGAATTAGGTTTTAAATTGTATCAATATTTGAAATTGAGAATCAATATTGAATAATGTTTAACATGTTTAAACTATGTACATGATTAAAAGTTTAAATAATATAACAATTTCAGTATTATATAATAAGATAAAAGTCACCAATTTTTGAGACCTGGACATCACATGATCACAATAGTCAAGTCATCTAACATTATAGGAAGCCTGTCTGGCTATCTGAGGAATAAAAATGTATTGTATTTACACATTGATGAAATATAGTTTTCGGGAAGCATTTATGCTATACTGTATGTCAATATCTGCTTGATAACCAAGTCTCTGGTTGCTGTAATAATATTCCAGAATCTACCCTGAGTATATTGTACATGTATGTCTTGATTTATATTAGTTTGATTGTGTAGGAAGCTATAATCTGAAAGACACACTTTCGAATCTGTTCCTGGAACAAACCAGTACTGAGCAAGTTTGATTGTGTAGGAAGCTATAATCTGAAAGACACACTTTCGAATCTGTTCCTGGAACAAACCAGTACTGAGCAAGTTTGATTGTGTTGGAAGCTATAATCTGAAAGACACACTTTCGAATCCGTTCCTGGAACCAACCAGTACTAAGCAATGAGTGTCAAGTTTCTTGCTCAAGGAAACAACATGATTTTTTTTCAATTTTCAATACAACCTGCGGCTTTCTGAAGGGGAAAATATAGTGTGTGAAATCAGAAAAGGGAAAACTCAAATTCCAACAACTGAGAATGAAATTTACCCACACATTTTATAAAATGTTCAATTTCAGTTCAATTTAAAATGCATGGTACATAGCAGAGGCTATCTATAGGGACAGCTTGATATAAGTCAGCGAAGAATGTGCACAGGGCAATATACCTACATTTGTATTTTGGGTTAGGGGAAACAGCCTTTATTCGGCTGTAAAATACAAGAAAAAAACCACTGCTTGCCCCTGATGAGGTTTGAACCCTTGCAGATAGTGTTTACTAATCTGATGTGTTAACTACTCGGGCTTGCCGCCACTTAGACATGTTTGCAGGGTTTTTTTCCAGGATTTTGGGAACATGACCCATACCCATTGAATTTGGAATTTCAGCGATGTTTTGTTAAAATTTGGGAAAAATTGCATGACTTAAATTTTGCAGTGATTAAATGAATGCAAAGAATAACTGTCTCAGGAAGGAATCTTCAAACTATTAAACACCATAACAGTGAAGAAGTCCTTATTTTCTAAGATTTTAGAATTTGTTATTAAATATTTTTATTTTGTAACTTTCAATTGGGAATTTTTTCCTGTGGATTGGGAAAATAATATTCTATTTTCGATTGGGAATATGACCGAATATCGGCTATAAAATAAGGCAAAAAAAATCCCTGGTTTGTCTTGATGAATTACTATAACTTTTGTCACTTTAAAGGGACTTCATTGAGGTTTTTTTTTAACATGATTGGACTAGAAATATTTTTCTAAGATTTGTACATTTGTGTATATATACATTTGTTAAAGGTCTGGACAAATGACTTGTGTGCATTATGAAATAGTACACAGCATGTACAGTGCAAATTAAAGTTAAATTAAACCAGGCCCGGACCTGACTATACATGCATTCTATATATTTATCACCTTAGTTGTATTATTTTTGACATTAAAATCCTCCAAGCTGGCACAATGGAGTGTTCCTTGAAGCAAAAAGTGATTGGGTAAGTTACAGAGTATGAAATGGTTGAAGTTAATAAATAACATGTGATTTAAGGTATATATGATTTTTAACATACAACTATAGATTGTGTTTTGCAAGGTACACAAATGAACAAGCATAAATATTGAAATGTTACGTAGTATAATTTATTTTTCTTTATGTACATTGTTTATATTTATTTTAACAATCAAAGGACTTCCTAACAACACAGTACTATCACCTTACGTCTAGTCAGTACAAGATAACAACCTGGGCTAGATAAATGCTTTTGTTGAAGTTTATTGACATATGTATGAGTCAAAATTACTTTTTTATGTAAACAACACTCCATGCATAAAAGAATATAGTCAATTTTCTAAATGATATGCTTTTTGAAATATGATAGTTCGCTGTATTTTAGGCAAAACAAAATAGAATAATTAGCATATTGTTTCATGTCCCAGTTATTTAAGTTTTATATTATAATACTTTTAGTTTTATCATTACAAAAAGCACTATTCTATTTATTTAATTACAACATTTAATTTCAACATAAACATATGTATATGATTTATAGAAAATTTGTACTATATATACTTGTTACAAGTCAATTATAAATTTTAACTTTAGATGATTAATGTCCCATTTTTGAACAGAAATAAAACAAAGTAACAAACAAATAAATATCTTGCTTTTTATCAATTATAAAGTTTTCTTTATTATGTTTAAGAAGACTAAATGTTTATTTATGAAGTACATTTTGTACATATAATTGAAAGGCATTAATCATTAGATGTATGCCTGTTACATTTCAGTATTAAACTGACAATGTGAACGTTTTTTTTTACCTCATTTAAGTAGGACAATGCTAAAAAATTGAAAGTTTTTTTAACCTCATTTAATGAGGTCAATCACTGAACAATGTGAAGTGTTTTTTCTACATGATTTATGAACATCAATCACTGACAATGTGATTTTTTTTTACCTCCTTTATGTAGGTCAATCACTGACTATGTGAGTTTTTTACCTCATTTAAGTAGGTCAATCACAGACATTGTGAACGTTTTTTTTACCTCATTTAAGTCAGTCAGTCACCGACAATTTGAAAGTTTTTCCCTCATTTAAGTAGGTCAATCACTTACAATGTGAAAGTTTTTTTACCTCATTTAAATAAGTCAATTACTGACAATGTGAACGTTTTTTACCTCATTTAAATAAGTCAATTACTGACAATGTGAAAGTTTTTTACCTCATTTAAATAAGTCAATCACTGACAATGTGAAAGTTTTTTACCTCAATTAGATAAGTCAATCACTGACAATGTGAAAGTTTTTCCCTCATTTAAGTAGGTCAATCACTTACAATGTGATTTTTTTTTACCTCATTTAAATAGGTCAATTACTGACAATGTGAACATTTTTTACCTCATTTAAATAGGTAAATCACTGACAATGTGAAAGTTTTTTTACCTCATTTAAGTTGGTCAGTCACTGACAATGTTAAAGTTTTTCCCTCATTTAAGTAGGTCAATCACAAACAATGTGAAAGATTTTTACCTAATTTAAATAGGTCAATCACTGACAATGTGAAAGTTTTTCACCTCATTTAAGTAGGTCACTGGAAGTTGTTTTTTTTACATGAACAATTTGAAAGTTCTAAACCTCATTTATGAAGGTCAATCACTGACAATGTGAAAGTTCTTTACATCATCTATGACAATGTGAAAGTTCTTTACATCATTTACGACAATGTGAAAGTTCTTTACATCATCTTTGACAATGTGAAAGTTCTTTACATCATCTTTGACAATGTGAAAGTTCTTTACATCATCTTTGACAATGTGAAAGTTCTTTACATCTTTTATGACAATGTGTAAGTTCTTTACATCTTTTATGACAATGTGAAAGTTCTTTACATCATTTATGACAATGTGAAAGTTCTTTACATCATTTATGACAAGGTGAAAGTTCTTTACATCATTTATGACAAGGTGAAAGTTCTTTACATCATTTATGACAAGGTGAAAGTTCTTTACATCATTTATGACAAGGTGAAAGTTCTTTACATCATTTATGACAATATGAAAGTTCTTTACATCTTTTATGACAATCTGAAAGTTCTTTACAACATTTATGACAAGGTGAAAGTTCTTTACATCATCTTTGACAATGTGAAAGTTCTTTACATTATTTATGACAATATGAAAGTTCTTTACATCATTTATGACAATGTGAAAGTTCTTTACATCATTTATGACAAGGTGAAAGTTCTTTACATCATTTATGACAAGGTGAAAGTTCTTTACATCATCTTTGACAATGTGAAAGTTCTTTACATTATTTATGACAATATGAAAGTTCTTTACATCATTTATGACAAGGTGAAAGTTCTTTACATCATTTATGACAAGGTGAAAGTTCTTTACATCATTTATGACAATGTGAAAGTTCTTTACATCATTTATGACAAGGTGAAAGTTCTTTACATCATTTATGACAATGTGAAAGTTCTTTACATCATTTATGACAATATGAAAGTTCTTTACATTATCTATGACAATATGAAAGTTCTTTACATCATTTATGACAATGTGAAAGTTCTGTACATCTTTTATGACAATGTGTAAGTTCTTTACATCTTTTATGACAATGTGAAAGTTCTTTACATTATTTATGACAACATGAAAGTTCTGTACATCATTTATGACAAGGTGAAAGTTCTTTATATCATTTATGACAATGTGAAAGTTCTTTACATCATATATGACAATGTGAAAGTTCTTTACATCATATATGACAATGTGAAAGTTCTTTACATCATTTATGACAATATGAAAGTTCTTTACATCATTTACGAAGGGCAAACACAGACAATATGAAAGTTATTTTTACCTTATTTGAAAATCACTGAACAATGTTATGTTTTTTTGTTACATCATTTACATGGGTCAAGCTTTAAACAACTTAACCCATTATTGCATGAGAATATTGTGAAAATGGCTGTTTTCATTGAAAAGTCTGCCTTTACAAGTTCAAATTGCTATAAAACTATAAAAAACTGCTTCAATACTTATCAAACATGGCACAAATGTTGACTGGACCATTGCCTTTGTAACAACATGCTCAGTCTTAAATTTCCTGTAACCATGGCAATGAGGGGACATCTCAAAATTGCAAAAAAAACCCTATTTTGCGTTGATATTTTCCATCAAAATTGATTTCAAAGTGCTGCAACATCTTAATGGATTGAGATAGACTCAAAGGCTTTTCAGTGTTGGTTAAACGTTACATTATGATCGACCTGGGGTCATTTTTAGCCTCCCACAAGTCCAAAATTTTCTTGGCAATGAGGGGGACTCCGCCCCCCTTCAAACCCCACAAACAGAAGGGGGCACACCCCCTTCTGGCAACCCCCTGATGTATCTTTTGGATAGGGGGCCCAATGAAAAGTGGTCACTTTTTTAAACAACATTTCTCAAACAAAAACAAGTGTTGGGGGCCTAAATAATGCATTTTTTCACCATTTGAGACAAAAAAAAAAGGGGGGGGGGAGTGTAAAAGGCGTTAAAGTCGTGTATATCGGGTAATGGGTTAAAAATATATCATAAAACATAGAGAATGTATGTTTACATGTATATGCTGCAGAAAAAAAATCTGATTTAGTGATAGATTAATGACTTACCACAAACATAAATACAGGAAGTGGTATTTTAATTAAAATAGAAAAATATTACGACATGTTCCGACTCCTTACTTTAATTAATTCCTGATAATTTAAGAGTGCTTGAGATTGATATATTTATGAGTTGTTTTTTCAAGTAAGCACTTATTTTATACTTGTTTTTTTAAATATACTTGTAGAGAAATGTGGTTGTTAAACTTGAACAGCAGTTTCTATATAATCATGAATGTCAAAAAGATCTTGCTGATTTGTCACGCTGGAAGTTTCTCACTAACATGAAATCATGTAAATAATATTATATTCCCCAACAACATAATCCATTAATTGAGAACAAGATATTGTATTGAATTTTTCTTACAGGTTAATATCGGTCTATAGCTACATGATAAAAAAATTAAAAAGAAATGCATGTTAAGAAAAACATAATTTTGTGTTGAGAAAAGTTTTTTCTTCCCCTTTATCAAATATATCATGTAATTTTGCTCAGGGCTGCTTCCTCAACCTGTGAAAAAATAAGCCCCGACTTGTAATAATATTATTTTAATATACACAACATATTCAAGAAAAAATGTTTATTATAATTTTTCATTAAATCATGGTCACTTTATTCACACATTTAGTTTTGTGACTGATATCATTTATAAAAGTGTTATTCACAGCATCATATTTTACAGTTAGTTACATGCATTAATACACTTGTTATCCTCCGCCGAAAAGGCGGCGGGGGATATAGTAATAGTCTCCGTCCGTCCGACCTTCCGTCTGACATTTTTGTCCGGAGCATATCTCTTAATGTATTTGAGTTATCAACTTGAAACTTCATAGGTGCATAGACCTCATTGAGGAGGAGTGCAGTGCACAAGGATGATAACTCTACCTTTCATAATTTTTGAGTTATTGCCCTTTGTTATTTTTCATACTTAATTTTTCACCTGAGTGGAGCATAACTCAAAAAGTGTTTGAGATATCAACATGAAATGTCATAGGTGGATAGATCTTATTGAGGAGGAATGCTGTGCGCAAGAATGATAACTCTTCCCTATACAATTTTTGAGTTATTCCTCTTTGTTCTTTTTCATAATATTTTGTCCGGAGCTTATCTCAAAAAGTATTTGAGGTATCAACTTGAAACTTCATAGCTGGATGGATCTCATTGAGGAGGAGTGCAGTGAAGAAGAACGATAACTCTACCCAGCATAATTGTTTAGTTATTGCCCTTTGTTATTTTTCAAAATTAATTTTTGTCCAGAGCATAACTCAAAAGGCCTTTGAGATATCATTATGAAACTTCATAGGTGCATAGATCTAACTCAGGAGGTTTGCAGTGCACAAGAATGATAACTCTACCTTTTATAATTTTTGAGTTATTGCCCTTTGTTATTTTTCATACTTAATTTTTCAATTCAATTTTTTCTTAAAAGTGTTTGAGGTATCAACTTGAAACTTCATAGGTGGATAGATTTTACTGAGGAGGGATGCAGCACACAAGAATGATAACCTACCCTGCATTATTTTTCAGTAATTGCCCTTTGTTATTTTAAGCCATCAGTATTCACATAGGTTTCAAATCTGTAATCACTATAGCCATCAGTTTTCATTACCAAAAGACCTTAAAATGGAGTTATTCTGCTCTACTACATATACATTCTTCCAATGAGCAAATACATTCGGCGGGGGATGGCCATGTTCACATGGCTCTTGTTACTATATAAAGTAACAAAATCGCCTATGATTTCAACTGATTATGAGTGTCATGTGACCTATTATGAGTTTGCGACCCGGGGCCCGAGAACTAGTTATCAGCCTGCTGAACATGTGCACGTGCACAAAATAAAACAATGACGTCACATTTTAAGTCACCAAACATTTAACTGTAAAAGCGAAAGTAGGTTTCATTAAGCATGAATCTCTTGATTTTATTATGAGAGCTGAATCGTATTTCGTACAAACATAGTTTTATTACTATTGAAATTTAAAGAAATAATACAACAATTTCATTTAGATAAAAATAAAACTTGCTTCTAGATTCTACTGTAGTGTACTTTGAACATACAAAAAGTAAACAACTCTGTAGAAGTTACTGTACCAGTACTGTAGAAATGCTGACAGGAATTTCAACGAAAGAAATTTCAAAGTATTTTTTTTTTTTAGAAAAAAATGCTACTATTAGGTAAAGACATTAATACACGTCTTAGTTGTGCCAGAAGGTGACAATCGGCCCTGAAATGAATAATGTCCTCGGGCCATTATTCATTTTGCGGGCCGAATATCACCTTCCGGCCCTACTCTGCTGTGTATTAATCTCTTATTAATGGCTTTAATTTTGAATATAGTTTTGATGTAAAAGCTCAGTTTTACCTTGTTGATCTGATGATAATCTTATAATTCCTCTGTGTGATTTCAGAAGTTGCAAGCGTAAACCCCACATTCTGTGCTTTCAAGAATGAGAATTTCCAGATAAACACAACAGCATCATGGTCGTCACAAAGTGATTGGTTGAGGAATCTTTTGTTAGAGGAGTATGAACAGACACGGGGCGTATTCTTGTCGGGCGGGTACGAGAGGTGTGAGGACTCTTTAAATACCAGTCATTGTTATACACTGTGGGCAAAGTCAGCTGACCAGTCTACTCCTGTCATAGCCAAGCAAGGTATGTATTATCACTGTATATCACTATTAATTAGTACAAACTAACAGCCTCATAGGGCGGCCGTGGCCGAGTGGTTAAGGTCGTTGACTTCAAACCACTTGCCCCTCATGGCTATGGATTCGCATCCCGACAGGGACTTTGAATTCTTTCATGTTAGGAAGCTATCCAGCTAGCTTACGTTGGTGGTTCTACTCAGGTGCCTGTTTTTGCCTGAAATAATGCACGGAAGGGCACCTGAGATCTTCCTCCACCAGTTAAGCTGGAACGTCGCCAAATGACCTATACTGTGTCGGTGTGACGTAAATCCAAAAAATAACAGCCTCGTATACAATGGAGAAGGGCCTCATGACATTTATTAGTCCCCTACCGGTTTACCGGAGGGGACTTTAGGTTTACCCTCCGTCCGTCTGTCCGTCTGTCCGTCCGTCTGTCCGTCTGTCTGTCAGTCCGTCAGTCCGTCCGTCCACAAAACTGGATCCCGCGATAACTTGAAAAGTACTGAAAATATTTTTATGAAACTTGGTATATGGATAGATGGCAGTATGGAGATTATGCACGTCTTTTTCTTTTCTTCCTATGTTGAAAATTCTGGTTGCTATGGCAACAAATAGGCTGAAAATATGGCAAATTTTACACATAAACTGGATCCAGTGATAACGCAAAAAGTACTGGAAATATTTTTATGAAACTTGACAAATGGGTAGATGGCAGTCTTGGGATTATGCACGTCATTTTCTTTTCTTCCGATGTTGAAAATTCTGGTTGCTATGGCAACAAATAGGCTGAAAATATGGCAAATTTTACACATAAACTGGATCCAGTGATAAAGCAAAAAGTACTGGAAATATTTTTATGAAACTTGACATATGGGTAGATGGCAGTATGGAGATTATGCACGTCATTTTCTTTTCTTCCTATGTTGAAAATTCTGGTTGCTATGGCAACAAATAGGCTGAAAATATGGCAAATTTTACACATAAACTGGATCCAGTGATAAAGCAAAAAGTACTGGAAATATTTTTATGAAACTTGACATATGGGTAGATAGCAGTCTTGAGATTATGCATGTCTTATCTGTTCTTCCTATTTTGAAAAAATATCAGTTGCCTTGGCAACAAATAGGCTTAAAACATGGCAAATATAACTATATTTGTGATTAGTCAAAAAGAGCTGAAAATTTTTATGAAATTGCATCTTTAATTCAAGAGTTATCTCCTCTTTAAGAATTTTGCTTTTAAAATGTTATATTTTGGTAACAGGGATGTTTCAAATATTAAAAATAGAGTGTCATTCAGTCCGTCTGTCTGTCTGTTCATAAAAACTTTTTCCTGTGATCACTTTTAAAGAACTTTTCCAACAAGTTTACTTAAAATAGAGAAAATTGAAACATTAGTGAATGGCCAATGGCCCTTCAGAATGTTGATGGGGTTCTAACCGGTAGGGGACTTATGGATTGCTTGCAATACTATGATAATTGCTTGTTGATTTAAATCTGCTGTTGTTTAATACTGTAACATACATATGAGCAGCGCCATGACAAAACCAACATAGTGCGTTTGCGACCAGCATGGATCCAGACCAGCCTGCACATCCGCGCAGTCTGATAAGGATCCATTCTGTTCGATAGCAGTTTCTCTACTTGTAATACTAGTCTTTAAGCGAACAGCAGGGATTCTGATCAGACTGCACGGATTCACAGGCTTGTCTGGATCCATGCTAGTCGCAAATGCACTATGATTGTTTTGTCATGGCACGGCTCATATTATTTTGGCATATGTCAGTGATTTTTTATAAAGATCTGCGCAGTAAGTTTGATTACTGATAACAGACAGACAGTTGTGCATGAAATATAAATAAATAATATTTCACAAATGAAAAATAAACAATAATTGATGTTGTTATAATTGTTTAGTTGCATTTTTATCTGATAATTAAAAATAAACAAATACTACAAATATTACATACAAGAACAGTAGTACACAGATTATGTTCACAATGGTGTAAGTATCAATTAATCATCAGTCTCATTTTATGAGAATTTTTCAAAAACACATCGCTGTCGATCGGAAACGAAAATAATATCAGGCAATTTAGTTCCGATGGAACTGTGTCACACATTGTGATATCTTGTCATTTACAAAACATTACATAACATTTTAAGCCTATTATAGCATTCGGCATGATATGGCCAGTTATGTGTTGACGGGCCGTAAAAATCCAAACAAACAAACAAGCATTGTGATATCTTGATATTATTAACTACTATTTGTATGTGAACAGCAGTAAAATTTAAAGAATTGTGATGTTATATTTTCAATATACATAATATTTACTCGTCCGAAGCCATGTCGATGTCAATTAATGCCAATTTTCACACTTGACTTTGTACGTGAAGTACCACAACATGTACTTGGTCAACTAACAGTGTCCAACTTTATGTTTGTATATTAATTACCACGCCTTGCATAAGGGGCCAGTTTAGTGTAAAATTGCTAATCAGCAATGCGATGCGTGTTTTTTTGTTGTTGTTGTTTTTTCCTGTTAAGGGAAAGACATTTTTTTGCCAAAATATTGGTCTGGCCAAGATCGGACAAACTGGACTGTCGATGACTGCCTTGTGATGTGATAGTATTTTCCTTGGCAAGTAGTTTAGTTTGTTTGGGTCAAGGTCACTGGGACATGCTTTTCCTACTTTACTATTTATTAAAACTTGTAGGGATACTTGTATTATTAATTGTTTTTGTTATCATTATAAAATAAGCTATGAAGTATTTACCAGCAGCTGGTTGATGTTATATCAGGAAGTTACCAGTTAATTATTAAGAATCAATGTGTTGCACATGATCTTTGTGTAATACAATAACATGATACAACATGCTCTATCATCATGTTTCATTGTGTATATATAATTCAAGGACAAAATAAGACAACTTCAGACCAAATTTTGTACAATTGTTAAACATATACATAATAAGTAAACATATGTTTGTCTACTTGAACTTTGAATTTTACTTCATTTTACATTCATTTAAGCTCTTTAATAAGGTTTTAAAAGTGTTTTAGATATATGATTTGATAAAATAGTTGTGAAAGTGACAGAAACGAAATATGACAGTGTTTCTGTTGAAAAATAAAACAGTGCTATGGAAGAGATTTTCACTAAACTTTATACATGTATATATAGCATATGGTAATATCAAGTTTGGTTGGTCAAAGTACAATAATCGCTTAAGTGTTCCTCAGAAAAAAATCTAATTTCTACTTATCTTAATACTAATATATTATAACATTACCTTAGGTATTTGAATGATATACAGGCTGGCCTGGCTGCAGGAATACACAGGCTGGCCTGACTGCATGAATTTACAGACTGGCCTGGCTGCAGGAATATACAGACTGGCCTGGCTGCAGTAATATACAGGCTGGCCTGACTGCAGGAATATACAGGCTGGCCTGACTGCAGGAATATACAGGCTGGCCTGACTGCATGAATTTACAGACTGGCCTGGCTGCAGTAATATACAGGCTGGCCTGACTGCAGGAATATACAGACTGGCTTGACTGCATGAATTTACAGACTGGCCTGGCTGCAGTAATATACAGGCTGGCCTGACTGCATGAATTTACAGACTGGCCTGGCTGCAGTAATATACAGGCTGGCCTGACTGCAGGAATATACAGAATGGCCTGACTGCAGGAATATACAGGCTGGCCTGACTGCAGGAATATACAGGCTGGCCTGACTGCATGAATTTACAGACTGGCCTGGCTGCAGTAATATACAGGCTGGCCTGACTGCAGGAATATACAGGCTGGCTTGACTGCAGGAATACACAGGCTGGCCTGACTGCATGAATATACAGGCTGGCCTAACTGCATGAATTTACAGGCTGGGCTGGCTGCAGGAATATACAGGCTGGGCTGGCTGCAGGAATATACAGGCTGGCCTGGCTGCAGTAATATACAGGCTGGCCTGGCTTTAGGAACTTACAGGTTGGCCTAGCTGCAGGAATATACAGGCTGGGCTGGCTGCAGGAATACACAGGCTGGCCTGACTGCAGGAATATACCGGCTGGCCTGACTGTAAGAATATACAGACTGGCCTGGCTGCAGTAATATACAGGCTGGCCTGACTGTAAGAATATACAGACTGACTTGACTGCAGGAATATACAGGCTGGCTTGACTGCAGGAATATACAGACTGACTTGACTGCAGGAATATACAGGCTGACTTGACTGCAGTAATATACAGGCTGGCCTGACTGCAGGAATATACAGGCTAGCTTGACTGCAGGAATATACAGGCTAGCTTGACTGCAGGAATATACAGGTTGGCCTGGCTGTATATTGGTGACAAAGGCTAATTTTTTTTTTTGTGGGGGGGGGGGGGGGGGCGTAAAAAGTTTAAAGCTTAGTTGGAATTATCATTAGTCACTTATAATCTCCTTTCTTATTATTTTTGAATTGAAGCTTTCTGTTGTTTGCTTTTTTGATGTTTCAAAACATTATATTTTCATATCAAAGGTACCTGGAATAGTTCATTAAAAGGTTTATAATGCTTCAACATAAACAACAAAATATCTTTTGCTACATTCTTGTTTGATAGTATAATATCATATGATTAAATGTAAATATTGAAAATATTCATTCAATGTGTGATGTTCAACACCTAAAACTTGTTTTCTGACAGTTCCACATCATTATAATGACTGGAAACAATGCTCACATACACTTGTGTAGAATATATAAAAACAACAGCACTGATTTATTATGTTGCAACATTAGGAATCTAAAAGATGACTTTGCATAAAGTTACGCTATTCAATAAAGTAATTTGAGTGACGGAGGCAGCGTATTTCCCAGACCTGCATTATTTTAATGTCTGGAATGTAGGACTGCTCTCTATTTAATTGGATTTTTTCAGTGGCATCATATTCAGACAATGTAATTATGTGTTGTTTGTACTGTGTTGTGAGAAATTTTATGAAAAATTAAAACATCAACAACAAGAGATGATCTACATGTTAGTGTGACCAGATGGTCAGATATTGTTTCACCCGCTGTAGATCATAAGAAAAGCCAGGTCAAAGTAAGAACTTATCAAGTCAAATTAATTAAAATACCATGTCAAGTCAAGAAATACCAGGCCTGGTTAAGAAATACCAGGTCAATTTAAGAAATACCCAGTTAAGTTTTAAGAATCAAAAAAAATAAAACAAAATTTTAAACAAAAACAAAAGGCCCCGTTGGAAGATAAAAAAAACCAAGTAAGGCTTTTAAAATACAAATTAGTTAAGAAAAACCAGGCAATTAAAAAGAAAAACCCGATCAAAAAAAAATTAAAAAAAGTTCCAAAATAAGTTAAGAATACCTTCGTTTTAAAACAAAGTTAAAATAACAATCTTGAGTGCCCAAAAGGCTTTAAATTAAGAATCCCATTAAGATTTACAATTTAGGAAACCCCGATAAGAAAATACTTAATTCAAAAGTTAAAATTAAAAATTTTCTTCAAGTTAAAAAGAAATTTAAAAAAGGTCAAGGCTTAAATTTGTATTGATTGAGACTAAGTAAGTTCTTTAAAAATCAGTGAAAATTTTTTTGCTTTTTAAAATATAAACCCAAAGTTTTATAAAATAGGGTTTTTAAAAAAAGATACTGAAATATTTGTCTCTGGAGAGAAAACAATGATATGAAAGGCTGGAAATGTCAGGATAAATTATAGGATATGATTGTAGAGAGAGAGAGCACCATATTTGGTGAGAGATTGTCTAGACAAGGTGTAATGTATTGTCTAACAGTGTGGCACATACTATTGGCTTAAACAATCAAGAACTTGGATAGAAATCCTATACCAGAAAATAACACATGCTAGTAGTACATGTACATAGTATTCAAGATCGGAGAATATTTAAGCAACCTAACAAATATGATATTGTATAGATTATGATATTTTAAAGCACCAAGTTTTATTCTGTACTAGTACAAATATATGATGGTAAAAAGTGCATTTATATAAACAAGAAATTCACCAAGTTTTATTCTATATAAGCGTGTTATATAAGTAAAAAATTCACCAGGTTTTATACTATATTAGTGTGTTATATAAGCCAGAAATCCACCAGGTTTTGTTCTATATTAGTGTGTTATATAAGCCAAATATTCACTAGGTTTTATACTATATTAGTGTGTTATATAAGCCAGAAATCCGCCAGGTTTTGTTCTATATTAGTGTGTAACATAAGCCAGAAATCTGCCAGGTTTTGTTCTATATTAGTGTAACATAAGCCAGAAATCTGCCAGGTTTTATTCTATATTAGTGTGTAACATAAGCCAGAAATCTGCCAGGTTTTTGTTCTATATTAAGTGTGTAACATAAGCCAGAAATCTGCCAGGTTTTATCCTATATTAGTGTGTAACATAAGCCAGAAATCTGCCAGGTTTTGTTCTATATTAGTGTGTAACATAAGCCAGAAATCTGCCAGGTTTTATTCTATATTAGTGTGTAACATAAGCCAGAAATCTGCCAGGTTTTATTCTATATTAGTGTGTAACATAAGCCAGAAATCTGCCAGGTTTTGTTCTATATTAGTGTGTAACATAAGCCAGAAATCTGCCAGGTTTTATCCTATATTAGTGTGTAACATAAGCCAGAAATCTGCCAGGTTTTGTTCTATATTAGTGTGTAACATAAGCCAGAAATCTGCCAGGTTTTATTCTATATTAGTGTGTAACATAAGCCAGAAATCTGCCAGGTTTTATTCTATATTAGTGTGTAACATAAGCCAGAAATCTGCCAGGTTTTATCCTATATTAGTGTGTAACATAAGCCAGAAATCTGCCAGGTTTTATCCTATATTAGTGTGTAACATAAGCCAGAAATCTGCCAGGTTTTGTTCTATATTAGTGTGTAACATAAGCCAGAAATCTGCCAGGTTTTGTCCTATATTAGTGTGTAACATAAGCCAGAAATCTGCCAGGTTTTGTTCTATATTAGTGTGTAACATAAGCCAGAAATCTGCCAGGTTTTATCCTATATTAGTGTGTAACATAAGCCAGAAATCCACCAGGTTTTGTTCTATATTAGTGTGTAACATAAGCCAGAAATCTGCCAGGTTTTATCCTATATTAGTGTGTAACATAAGCCAGAAATCTGCCAGGTTTTATTCTATATTAGTGTGTAACATAAGCCAGAAATCCACCAGGTTTTATACTATATTAGTGTGTTATATAAGCCAGAAATCCACCAGGTTTTGTTCTATATTAGTGTGTTATATAAGCCAAAAATCCACCAGGTTTTATACTATATTAGTGTGTTATATAAGCCAGAAATCCACCAGGTTTTGTCCTATATTAGTGTGTTATATAAGCCAGAAATCCACCAGGTTTTGTTCTATATTAGTGTGTAACATAAGCCAGAAATCCACCAGGTTTATACTGTACAGATATCATGTTATTATACATTGTTGAGTACAATAAAGAATTCTATTGAACTTGTACACAGCTTTCGAACCTATTAGACAAGGTGCTAAGTCCAATATAGGTTTACTGTTGTGTACAGGTTCAATAGAATCAATATTGTACTCAACAATATATAGAGACCTCTTCATTTCATATCACCAAATTTTTAACATTTTGACAGAATTTTGTTACTGCAAGTACAATATAGATTTGTCATGGATGTCACTATATATTTACTGAGCACTTTCATGCTACCTGACCAGACTTTTAGATGGTAGCATTTTGGCATTGAAATTCATTAAATTGGCAATGAATTATTCTGAATTTAAAGAAGTTCAAAAGACATTTATAAGTCAGTTATTATATTAAAAAATAATGTATTATTTTAAAGACAGGAACTTTGGCCTAAAGTATGTTTCACTTTTTTACCTTCCTTGACAAAGTCTGTTTATCAGACACTGATTGTTTAATATAAAAGGTGTATATTTTATTCCAGGATGTTGGATACACTTCACAAAAGGTACTCCTAATAAATGTCAAGTGAGTAAATGTGACGAGTCACCATCAAACTGGACAGATGACTCACAGTTTCAGTTCTGTTGTTGTACAGGAAATAAATGTAACGATGTGAAAGATGCCGCAGATAGCAAGGAACAGGATAATGTACCGGTTCCACCCAAGGTTGCTCCTGTCACAGAGAAAAAGATTCAATCTAAAGGTTTACAATTTAAACGAAAACATATTAAAAATTTACGATTTGCACTTTAAAGGCACATTATGTCTCAGAAATCCATATCTATTAAAGTCTTTTGAAATGTCAAACATGTGTTAAATAATGTTTTACTAATGAATTTAGATTATGTTAGGAGTTAAACAGCTGACAAAAGAAGTGTTAAATGTGCAGTAATGTGTTGTAAAGGTAGCGAAATGTAAACAATGTGTATTTAACTAAATGCTAATTCACAAAAATTATACCAATTGCCAACAAAGCAAAAGAAGCAAAGATAGTTTATTTACTTTGTAAATTAGTTTATTAGTATTTTATGGAAACTGTAACAAGATATCAAAAATTAAATTTTTTTGTGAAATAAAAATGATAACATTTCTGAGGCATAATGTGTCTTTAAACAAGAACATATTAAAATGTAAAGAGACTACCAGGAAGTTTTAAAGTTTGTTAATCAGCTGTCAATAACAGTCATAAAATGGTAGGATTGTAAGGAAATTTTATTCAAGGCTCTAGAACTATACTTTCCTCTAAAAGTTTGGTGAAGTCGAAATTGCAAAATGGAAATTTACAAGTTGCCTAACATGGTAAAATAGTAAAATGTTGCAGACTCTCTTTGATAGAACTCTTAGTGAATTGCAGTAAAATACTATGTTACTGTCTATACCTAGTGTTGACCACACACAGTGACCATACATTTTAAGCTGCCAGTTAAAATATGGGATAAGTAGTAAGGCACTGGTTAGAAATTTTAAAACGTTAATATTCAACATAGTTTGGTAAAAGTAGATGACAGTAGATTCTGTAGTTGTAGCTATTAGGGCTCACAAAGACCACTCTGACCCCTAAAGCAAAATTGCTGCAGACTGCAGACTTTTTCTATAGCACATCTGAGCGGCGTCACGACAAAACCAACACAGTGCGTTTGCGACCAGCATGGATCCAGACCAGCACAGTCTGATCAGGATCCATGCTGTTCGCTTACAAACCCTACAACAAGTAGAGAAACAGCATGGATCCTGATCAGACTGCGCGGATGCACAGGCTGGTTTGGATTCATGCTGGTCGCAAACCCACTATGTTGGTTTTGTCATGACGCGGCTCATTTTATCATATAGTTCAGTGTATATGTTTGAATAGAAATAATGCATTTATTGTTTGATTTTGCAGAAAAAAGTAAGACTAAGGCTACATATTGTGCATACAGATGGAATCAACCTAAAGGAAGTAATGGTAAAATAAATGAGGATCAAGGAATGGGAAGTGTTCAAGATGGTGGTTATCAAGCTAAATGTGATGATGAGAATGACTACTGCTTCTCGTATTACACGTTAGACCCTGTCAACAAATCCAGAATTACAGTCAGTATTCAAGGTAAGGTTTTTATCATTATATGATGTCATTATAATCTAAAAAAATTAACTTGTGTAATGTATATCTCTCATCCCAGCTATTCAGTCAGACACAAATAGTTTGATAGAAAATGTGTATGAAATAGTTAGACAATTGAATGATTTTAACAGCGCAAAGGAAGGAACCTTGTAGATAAAAACGGTTTCCCACCAATAACTAAACAACATGCCTCGGTTGATATTCTTTATTAAACTAAAAATGCTTTTGGTATACACATTTCAAGGTCATTTGTTTTATAACAAATTGGCTGTCATTAAGGAGGCCTACATGATTCATAAATTTATGCATATATTATTTGGTAAGATTTGTGATAACTTTGTCATAAAATTGCTGCACACAACCTTTACAGTCACAAATACCTAGTGATTATTCATGACCAGTAGATAACCCCTATTGATCTTTTGGTCACTAGGTCAAAAGTCAGTCATAGAAACCTGACCACATAACTAATTAGCATGCAGATAGGGGGCATACATGTTTTACAAACATATCTTGTTTTTGTTATTTGTTGTTTTTCCCTGCTAAGGACCAGACACTTTTGTTCAAAATATTGGTCCGGCCAATGCCGGACTGACCGGACCGACAATGACGGCCCTGTTACAGGACCATTATTATTAAGAAAAAATGAAAGTAAGGAAAACAAAGACTTTGATTAATGCATTACAAAAAGAGGTTATTAGTCCCCTACCAGTTTAACCGGAGGGGACTTTAGGTTTACCCTCCGTCCGTCTGTCCGTCTGTCTGTCCGTCTGTCCGTCTGTCTGTCTGTCTGTCTGTCTGTCTGTCAGTCCGTCAGTCCGTCCGTCCACAAAACTGGATCCCGCGATAACGCAAAAAGTACTGAAAATATTTTTATGAAACTTGATATATGGATAGATGGCAGTATGGAGATTATGCACGTCTTTTTTTTTCTTTCTATGTTGAAAATTCTGGTTGCTATGGCAACAAATAGTCTGAAAATATGGCAAATTTAACACATAAACTGGATCCAGTGATAACTCAAAAAGTACTGAAAATATTTTTATGAAACTTGAAATATGGGTAGATGGCAGTCTGGAGATTATGCACATCTTTTTCTTTTCTTCCTATGTTGAAAATTCTGGTTGCTATGGCAACAAATAGCCTGAAATTTTCAAGATTTCTGATTTAAATTTTTCAGCTTTTTCACTATATGTTCTTTATTTCTTAAGGTGTTTACTTCAAACTTTAAAATATAAGTTTCTGGTCATCAACCACATCATATGTTGACAAGGTTTATAACTCTAGCACAAAAAATATCAGTATTACCTCCCTTGAACTTAGATTTTTTAGGGGAAAAAATGTTGTCTTTTTTAAATAACTTCTTTATTTCCTAATGTATCTACTTCAAACTTCATATATATGTTTCTTATTATCACTCGACATTTTTGAGAAGGTTAAATACTCTAGCAAGACTATGTCCAGAATTATGTCCCCACTTGAACTTAGATTTTTTTCGAGAAACTGGTATTTTCACTCCAACTTCTTCATTCCTTATAGGATTTACTTTAAATTCCAAACATCGTAATAATATGACAAGGTTGTATAAACATAATTTCCTTACTAAGCATGGTAACTTAACACATTACTGTGATATAGACAAACTTATTTTATTATGTTTTGTGGTCGATATTTTCAAATACAGACTCCATCCTCAAATTCATTATAAATGGCAATACACAGGAGTGTATGACAATTAAAGAACTTTTTGAGGGACCGGTAGGGGACTACTGTATTGCCCGCAATACTATCAAATGCTTGTTTTTCTTATTACGTTTACAAATCTAATTTAACAAAAATTTGTTTCCTTGTATATTAGAAAGCGTATAATTTATATAATACAGATTAGCACTTATAAACTTTTTTTTTACATTTTAAGAAAGTATATTTGGTAACAATAAGTTGAGTGTCTGGGAGGGAAGAATTAAGCTTGTTGTATGAGATTTGTTTTCATCTGTAATAAAACAGGCTCTACCAGACATGTGTGGGCGTAATTATTTTCTTGACATACAGACTTTAAGGCAGATTCTGATGTTATATCAGCACACAGGGACCTTAAGCTTAGAGAAATAAACTGAGTTGTGCCAATCTATACGGCAGTTAACTAGTTCCAACAAACTTATAAATTATCAATATTTCTTAACTTAATTATGGAGTTAATATTAATATTATGAAATGATTCCAATCCAATCTAGCTTAGTCTTACAAGAAGTTGAACATGTATTTTACTTCCATTTAAAATGGGTTGATTCTGTAATGTCATTCATTTTCATTAGTTTGACTACGTTGAGTGATGACTGAAACTTGTTGGAAGTTAGTTTACATTCAGGTATTGATACAGGATAAAAGATCACTGGTTTGTAAGGGATTCATAGAAGAAATTGAAGGATTTTCCTCCTAGTTTAGAATTTTAATTGCTAAAATTGGTCAAGAATAGAATATGTGTGGATAATCATCACATGATTTAATAATTTAAGTCACATATCAAGTTTAAGTTCAGTTTTATATCTGTTTTCAGACATAACCATCAACAATAGCTAACTTTCCTACACAAAGTCTGAATTTGGATTTTTATTTATATAATAAACTTTTTAAACAAAATATTTTACATGCCATATAGCATGATACATTTCACTCACATGCACTATATTGAAATAATGTACAGTTAAACTATTTGGATAAAGCATATTATGTTACCAACATCTCCTAAAATGCAATATTAGTAAATATCCACTCTATATTGAGAGATTTTCATGTATAGTATTACTAGATGTTACATGTGTGGTATAGAACAAAGAATTTCCTGTAACAAATACAGCCTTAAGTTATTCAAATTTAATTATACAAAACACCTACAACCACTTCAAAATAAAATCAAAACTTCTTTATTCTCATCTTGTAATAAAATGTTTACAGTTCACACCTCAAACCAATGTGATTTATACAAACAAATGATAAGGAAAATTTTAATTTACTATGTTTTTTTTTGTTCAATAAACAAGCAGTCAGCTATACCAAATGGATTTCCTGAATAACATATTAAGTACAATAACTTGATTCTCATCATGTAATTACCAACTTTCCACATAATTTCAAAGGAGGATAAATGGCTTTTGAATATAAGCATGTGTCACTATGTTCATTTTACAGAAAATAATTAAAGAATCTTGAATATGACAGTCATTTCATTTAGACTGTAGCCAGTTCTTGGTAGAATGTAGCCAATTACCCTGTACTGTCTAATGCTTTATTTTGTGCCACATTTTACCTGGTTAAGCAACAACATACTAATTGCCCTGCACTGGGAGTTAGACATTATCTGTGTGGTAACATTGACCTGGTTGTACAACAACAGATGAAAAGCCACGTTGTGATGGTGTTGGTAGTTTTCACCCAGGGCACGACATAAAGCCCCCATTGAATTCACCAGATCTTAAAACCCCAAACATCTTCCCTTTCAGGCGTCAAGCAGTTTTCCTGTACTAGTTCCTTACCTTCGCAAGGAAATGAAACTTTTGTATATGCCCGAGGGTTTTTATAAACCCAAACAAAATGAAAAAGAACCTGCCCCTCCGGGAATCGAACCGGGTCCCCAATTCCAGTCCCAAAGCTCTACCTTTTGAGCTAACTGGACGGCTTTGAACAGTCACACTTCAGTTCCCACTCTTAGTACCTATAGTTAACTCATACCTGGGGGCGGATCCAGGACCTCTGGTTAGGGAAGTGCAGGGGAAATTATTTTCGAGTTTTGAGTACAGAAGTGGTCCTTCCTTTCATTGATTGGGGTATTGGGCCTCCCTTTGAAAATTTTGGTTTGTGTTGCATTCAGGTACTCAAATAGTTTTCATAATATTATAGGTTTAATACCTTAAGAGTGATTGTATTAGCAATCTTTCTTAAGTCATAATCCCCTTCATGGCCAATAATTGAATGAGTGCACCTTTTTGACACATTGGTTACTCACAATTATTGCCAGAGGCATTATGTTTTTACCAAACATGCTTTCTTGCTTTGTTTATAAATTTTATTATATCTTTATTTTCTAATAGATAGCAAATTCTATGTAGGACTTAACTAAAGTCCAATTGAAAAAAAAAATGAAACCTTCAAGAAATTCTTATCTAAACAAGAATGAAGTAATGTAGAATAGATTCTGATCATACAATACAAAAGTAACTACTTTGTAGCTGGATACAAAATACTTTATGTAAGATTTTATGAATTAGTTTGTTAATACTGCAACTGGTACAAATGTGATGTTGAAATCCTATATGGTGTACACACAGGTACACACAGTTTCTATTGATAGACACCTTCTTGTATCATTGTTTAATTTCTAACATTAACAGCACATTTCCTGTTAACAGATTTGCAAGTTTCTTTTTTTATATACATTTGTTTTTGCTGCCTTATCTAATAGTCAGGGATGTACAGATTTGATATAGTCTGTTTATCTAAATATCCTATTTTTTCTTTTTCCTTCAGATAAAAACATTCATAACCACTTTAAATAATACTGCATAATATTTTGAAATATGTTAAAACACGTACTTAATGTTTTTATGTCAAAGATAGACTTAGTGGTGATTTGTTCGAATTTAAATGTCATAATGCAGGTTGCTTGGTTATAATGCAGGTGGCCTGGTTATAATGCAGCTAGTTTGGTTATAATGCAGTTAGTTTGGTTATGATGCAGCTGGCCTGGTTATGATGCAGCTGACTTGGTTATAATCCAACTAGTTTGGTTATAATGCAGTTAGTTTGGTTATGATGCAGCTGGCCTGGTTATGATGCAGCTGGCCTGGTTATAATCCAACTAGTTTGGTTATAATGCAGTTAGCTTGGTTATGATGCAGCTGACTTGGTTATGATGCAGCTGACTTGGTTATAATGCACCTAGTTTGGTTATAATGCAGTTAGCTTGGTTATGATGCAGCTGACTT